GCGGTTCCAACAGTATGACGCAAGCTAGGGAGGCTGCCTGGAGGAGTTGGCCTAGAGTAGGACTTGGCAGGCAGAGGGACTGGGATATTCCCAGGCAGAACAGGGCAGAAGGTGACAATAATAACAGCTTCCTTAAATTTTGTGCAAGGCAGACTGCTAGGCAGGCTACATGTATCCTCTCTGGATTTCCACAAGAACCCTGAGAGACAGCAATGCTCCTGCCCATTTTTCAGATGAGGAAACTGAGGCCCTGTGAAGTGAAGTGACTTGCCCACGGGCACATAGCTGGTAAGTGGTAGGCGTGGGATTCAAACCCAGGCCAAGAGGCTTCTTATGGCCTAGAAAACAAATTCATTAATTACAAACTTTCCTCACCCCTGTTAGTCCCGCCTCATAGGTGAGGACACAGAAGCCAGCCCAAACCAGGGTATTTTTGAACGAATGATGTTTGTGGGTAGCGGGAGTAAGGAGTTTAGGAATTGATGATCAGGATGTGGGGATCCTGGGAAAAGGAGGAAGTTTGCATCTTGATGACTGACTGACAGACGGTACAGATGGAACTAGTAATAATCACCAATATTTGTAGAATGCTTGTTGTGCACCAGGAACTGTTGCCGGGCACATGCATGATTTCCTTGGAGTTCAGAAACGTTAAGATACTTGCCTGAGGTCACACAGCTAGTAGGAGGTGAAGCCAGGTGCTCGCTTGGCAGCACATATACAAAAACTGGAATGACACAGAAACTAGCGTGGTCTCTGTGCAAGGATGACATGTGAATTTGTGAGCATTCCATATTTTCCAGACTCATGTTCTTAGTGTCTTGCCTCCCCTGTGGATAGAGTCGGGGGTGGGGGAGTATGATGAAGAATGAAGAGGGTTGTTTTTTCTTTTTAGGGCAGGGGCGCAGCTGGCCTGTACAGGGATCGAACCCACGACCGTCGTGTTATAAGGCTGTGCTCCAAACAACTGAGCTAACTCAGCCCTGTCTTTTCTTTTTTTTAGCATCACTGAGTATGGTGAAATAGCTTGAGGGGGCAGCACTGGATTATTCCTTTGGAATTTATTTTTTGTCAGATATTCAGTGAGTGCCTACTGTGTGCTAGACTCTGTGATGGGCACTATGGATAGAGATAAGAGAACCAATACAAGACTAGTATTCGGAGTATAGAAAGAGTTCTCACAAATCAATAAGAAAAAAGTCAAGCCATGCAGTTAACACAGACAGACTATGTATTAAAAAGAAGAAAAAAGGGCTGGCTGGTTAGAACACAGTGTTCTTGGTGACCACGAACACCAAGGCCAATGGTTCAGATCCCCATACCGGCCAACCACCAGAAAAAAATTTAAAAGGGGGCTGGCCAATTAGTTCAGTAGGTTAGAGCTTGATGCTAATAACACCAAAGTCAAGGGTTCAGATCCCTGCACCGGCCAGCCACCAAAAAAAAAAAAAAAAAAACCCACAAAAAAAAAAA